ATATTATGCAGTATTTGTATTTCAGGAAATAACTCTCAAAGTGATGGGTTACAAAAGGGAATTCTTACGAGTTAAATTAATGTAAAAACTCTAGATGCATTCCCCCTACTATCTAATTGTTTTTATCTATTTAACGCCAACATTGCTTCCAGTCACATTAGGTAGCATTTAAACTACATTATGTAAATAATTTTTTAAATGATCATTTTACCTAAAACGTGTTTGACAGTAGTTTTAATGGAAAAAAAGTGTCAGGACATGTGGCCATTTATACCAAAGGCAAAGACTATGTAACAGGCTATCCTAAGATTAACGAATTTAGAGGAGGAGGTCTGTACCAGAACGGAAGGCTCATTCTTATCCAGCTCTTATTCAGTTTCTTTTCTGCAAACTGAAGGCTTGGTACAGCTGGAAATTGAGGGGTTGTGGTTTGTTAAAGATTTGAAATTTTTGCCTTTTACTGTTTTTTCAAATGGTCGAGAGTAAGTCAGGCATCAAGTGCTTTCTGCCATGAGTTTTAGTATCAAAAATAGCATGCTTTGTTCTTTTATAGCCAAAGTTGCTGTAAAACTTAACATAAATACAAAGTGCTACAGCTTGTAGTTCCTTATGTAAATAAGTAATGTATGTTTATTTTTTGTTATGGAAATTTTCAAACACCTATAAAAGTAAATAGTGCATTGAGCCCTCAGTGCATTCAATTCCAATAGGTAGTATTAATTCTCATATTCTTTTGTCTTTGCCTGATCAGTACTTTCCCTTTTTCCTTTTTTGCTGGAGTACTTCAAAGGAAATTCTTGAAGTACTATCCCATTCTATCTGTAAATAATACAGTATGAGTCTTTATCATGGATGACTTTAAAAAAAAAAGTTACTGTAATACTGTTATACCTAATATCTTATGATCTGATACCCAGTCTATTTGCTTTTTCTTATTTGTCTTATGTCTTCTTCAAATTAAAATCCAAAAAGGTCTTCCACACATTTTAATTGGCTGAAATGTCTCATCACCTCTTAATCTGACAGTTTCTCCTTTTTTAAAAAACAAACTTACTTTATTTTTTTTAACATTTTATTATAGAGATAGCGAGGGGGGAGGGGCATAAATGGGGGAGGGGCAGAAGGAGAGGGATAAGCAGGCTCCCCATTGAGCAGGGAGCCTGAAGCAGGGCTCAATCCCAGGACCCCGGGATCATGACCTGAGGTGAAGGCAGACGCTTAACTGACTGAGCCACTCAGACACCCCAACAAACTTACTTTAGAATAGTTTTATAGTTTTTAGATTTAATTTGTGAAGATGGTACAGAGAATTCCAGTTTCTGCTATTAGTAACAGTTTACATTAGTATGGTACACTGTTAGAATGAAAAGGCAAGCCAAAAATTGGGTGAAAATAGTTGCAAATTATATATCTGATAAAGAATTTGTATCCAGAATATATAAAGAACTCCTTACGACTCAATAAAATAAGCAGTCCAATATAAAAATGGGAATTCTTATTAGTTACTGTAAAAATTTTCAGTTTATTCTCAGGCCTAGACCATGGGCAAAAAACTTAGGCATTTTATCAAAGATGGACAGTTGGCTAATAACCATCCAGAAGGATGCTCAGCATTATTAGTCATTAGAGAAATGCACATCCAATGAGATTATCACTTCATACCACTAAAATGGCATAAATAGACAATAAAAAGTGTTGGTGAGGGGTGCCTGGTGCCTCAGTCTGGTTAAGCATCCAACTCTTGGTTGTGGCTCAGGTCATGATCTCAGGGTCTTGGGATCGAGCCCCACATTGGTCTCCTCACTCAGCGGGGAGTCTGCTTGAGAGTCTCTCTCCCTCTGACCCTCCCCCTGCTCTCTCACGCACACACTTTCTCAAATAAATAAATAAATCTTTTTTTTTTTTTAAGATTTTATTTATTTATTTATTTGACAGAGAGCGAGAGCAGGAACACAAGCAGGGGGAGTGGGAGAAGGAGAAGCAGGCTTCCCGTGGAGCAGGGAGCCCGATGCGGGGCTCAATCCCAGGGCCCTGGGATCATGACCTGAGCCGAAGGCAGACGCCTAAAGACTGAGCCACCCAGACGCCCCTAAATAAATAAATCTTTTTAAAAGTGTTGGTGAAGATGTAGAAAAACTTAATGCATTGTTGGTAGGAATGCAAATGGTTCAGCCACTTTGGAAAACAGTTTAGCAATGTACCAGTTTTCCATTACTGCTATAACAAAATAATACAAACTTAATTGCTTAAAAACAAATTATTACCTTAGTTCTTATGATCAAAAATCTGAAATGGGTTTTACTGAGTTAAAATCAAGGTGTTGGTAGGTATAGTGATTTTAAGTAGTACCCCACCCCCCCGAAGAAAAATTCATGTCTACTTGGAACTTCAGCACATGACCTTATTTAGAAATAGGGTCTTTTCAGGGCACCTGGGTGGCTCAGTCAGTTAAGTGGCTCAGGTCATGATCCGAGGGTCCTGGGATCGAGCCATGCATTGGGCTTCCTGCTCGGTGGGGAGCCTCCTTTTCCCTCTCCTCCTGCCCCTCCCCTCTCTTCTGTTCATGCTCTCTCAAATAAATAAATAAAATCTTGAAAGAAAGAAATAGGGTCTTTGCGATGTAATTAAGATGGTCATGCTAGGGGCGCCTGGGTGGCTCAGTCGTTGGGCGTCTGCCTTCGGCTCAGGTTGTGATCCCAGGGTCCTGGAATCGAGGTCCGCATCAGGCTCCCTGCTCCGTGGGAAGCCTGCTTCTCCCTCTCCCACTGCCCCTGCTTGTGTTCCCTCTCTCGCTGTATGTCTCTCTCTGTCAAATAAATAAATAAAATCTTTAAAAAAAAAAAAAGATGGTCATGCTCGATTAGAGAGGGCTTTAAATACAATAACTAGTGTCCTTACAGGAAGAGGAAAGGGGGTACACAATCAGAACACTAAGTGAAAATGGAGGCAAGAATTAGACTTGTTATTGCCTCAAGCCAAGAAATATCTGAGGCCACCAGGAGCTGGCAGAGGCAAGGAAGGATTCTACTCCAGATTCAGAGAGCATGGCCCTGCTGACCTGATTTTGAACTCCCAGCCTCCAGAGAATAAATTGCTGTTTTAAGCCACTCAGTGGTAATTCCTTAAAGCAGCACTAGGAAACTAATACAACAAGATTATGTTTCTTCTAGAGGTTCTAGATGAGAATCCGTTTCCTTGCCTTTTCAGCTTCTATAAGGCCACGTGTATTCCTTGTTTCGTAGTCCTTAATCTTCAAAGCTTGCAGTGTAGCATCTTAAATCTCTTGTTTCTGCTTCTTTTGTCCTATTCTCTTCTCTGACCGTTAAGGACCTCTTTGATTACATTGGGCCCACCCAGATAGTCCTGGTTAATCTTCCCATCTCAAGGTCTTAATCATATCTTGCAAAGTGCATTTTCCATGTAAAATAATGTATTAAAGATTCTTGGGATTGGAACATGGACATCCTTTGGGGCCATTATTCTACCTACAAAAGGTGGTTTCTTTAAAAAGCATATTTACCATACAGCCCAGCAATCCCACTTCTAGGTATCTACCAGAGAAAAACTAAAGCTTATGTCCACACACAGACTTACATGCAATATTCATAACAGCATTATTTATAATGGCCATGAATATAGTACTGTTAAAATGCCCATCAGATGGTGAATGGATAAACAAAATGTGGTATATCCTTACAGTGGAATATTGTTCAACTGCTGACACATTACATCATGGATGAACCTCAGAAACATTATGCTGCATGAAAGAAGTGTAGTAGTGTAAAAGATCACATTTTTTCTATGTATATGAAATGTCCAGAAAAAGCAAATATGTAGAAAGTAGATTTAGTGGCTGACTTTGGGTAGGAAAAGGGATTTACTTTAGATTTGCACAAGGGATTTTGGGGGTATGATGTGAATGTTCTAAGGCTGAATTGAGGTGATGGTTGTACAACTCTGTAAATAGTCTAAAAGTCATTGAATTATACATTTAAATGAATTTTATGGTGCATAATTATACCATAAGGCTATTTAAGAGAAAAATAAATGGAATGTAAAAAGTGGGAAGGGGCCTCAGATTATTTGCAGTATACTAGCTTACAAAGGACATGTATCCATAATACACTTACAACCCAGTTAGAGAACCCAGTTTGTTTTAAATGGGCAAAATATTTGAATAGCTCCTTTACCAAAGAAGTTATATGAAGGCAGAGAAATAAAGGAAAGCATGCTCAACATCATTTGGTATTTAGGGACATGCAAATTAAAACCATTCACTACACACCTGTTAGAATGGCATAAATTTTTAAGGGTTGACAGTGCCAAATGCTGAATGCAGAACAACTGGAACTCTCATATATTTACGCCCAGCATTACCTCTCTTAAGAGAAATTTTAAAAACTTATGTTCACACAAGAACCTGTAGAGAAATGTGTATGTAGACCCAAATGCCTTTCAACAAAAGGGTAAACTGGTATATCCATACTATGGAATACTACTCAGCAATAACAAGGAAAGAACTGTTGATACAACAGTGTGGTAAATCTCAAAGGCATTATGTTGAATGAAGGAAGCCAAGCAAATGGCTATGTATTATGTGATTCCATTTATGTGACATTCTTGAAAAGCAAAGATATGGGGAACAGAAAACAGATTAATGGTTGCCTGGGAGTGGTGTTAGAGTTGAAACTCTACGGAGGGTCATGAGGGAGATTTTTGGGGTGATGGAACCATTCTGTATCTTGATCTAAATCTTGATAGTTATTGTTACATATGTTTGTCAAAACTCAGAACTATACACTAAGAAAAGTGAATTTAATTTTATGTAAACTTTAAAATACTTTTTTAAAAGCTAAGAGTGAAAATTGATCCCCCAGAAAAGGCTTGGAAAATAAAGGAACAACTAAGAGTACATATAGAAAATTTGCAAGCTGGTGGACTTGAATAGACTATATCAATAATTATATTAAGTCTGGACAGACCAAATGCTCCAATTGTCAGTGCTTGCTTTGGCAGCATATATACTAAAATTGGAATGACACAGAGAAGATTAGCATGACTCAATGTGATGACATTTTCCCCCTTTTTCTATAATGCTATTTTATTTTTTTTATTTTTATTTTGAAGATTTCATTCATCCAATCATTCATTTAAAAGAGAGCCCGTGTGCCTTTGGAGGGTCAGAGGGGATGGGGGGATAGGGCTAAGGAGACTGCACTGAGCGCGAGTCCAAAAGCAGGACTCATCCCACAACTCTGAGATCCTGACCTGAGCCAAAACCAAATCAAGAGTCATTCACTCAACCGACTGAGCCACCCAGGCGCCCCTCGTGGTATTTTAATAAATAAAAGTAATACTTGAACATTGCATAATATTTAAAATAAAGAATTGTGTAATTTAAAAAATACTCCCGTTGTCAGATTAGAGGAACAAGACTTAAGTATATGCTGTTTACAAAAGACACTTTAAATTACAAGGACATAGAAGAGTTGAAAGTAATTGATGGTAAAAGATACATGTGCAGCGTTGAGTAGAAGAAAACAGTATGTATTGAACAAAGTAGATTTTAAGACGGAATATTATGGCAAAAAGAAGGACATTTCAAAAGGATAAAAGGGGGCGCCTGGGTGGCTCGGTTGAGCGACTGCCTTCGGCTCAGGTCATGATCCTGGAGTCCCGGGATCGAGTCCCGCATCGGGCTCCCTGCTCAGCAGGGAGTCTGCTTCTCCCTCTGACCCTCCTCCCTCTCCTGCTCTCTGTATCTCATTCTCTCTGTCTCAAATAAATAAATAAAATCTTTAATAAAAAAAAAAATAAAAGGACCAATTTATCAACTTATAACAGTCCCAAATAGTTATGCGCTTAATATAACTTGGAAATACATGAAGCAAACATTGACAAAACTGAGGAGTAAGAAGGAACACTTCCAAACTTTGTTCAAGGCCAAACATAATCCTGATTGATAAGAAAGCCTGTCAGGAATATTACAAAGAAAGAAAAACTGATTTCTCAAAATAATCTTTCTTGAGGTATCATTTAAATAAAGGAGGTAGGTCGGGGCGCCTGGGTGGCTCAGATGGTTAAGCGTCTGCCTTCGGCTCGGGTCATGATCCCAGCATCCTGCTCAGCGGGGAGCCTGCTTCTCCCTCTCCCTCTGCCTCTCTCCCTGCTCATGCTCTCTCTCTCTGTCTCTGTGTCTCAAATGAATAAATAAAAAAATCTTAAATAAATAAGGTAAGAGAGTAACCTGCAGTCAAGGATGGAGAGGCTATCAACAGAGAAAGTTGCAGGTGAAGCAGATTTTGGGGGAGGGGGATCAGAGATCTAGTTTTGGGTATGTTTAATTTGAATTGTCTACTACAGATCCTCTGGAGTTTAAGAGTGATTTCTAAGCTAGAGACAGAGTTCGAAGATGGCAACATTAAAGCGGTAAGATTATGAGATTGAGGTCAACCAAGAGAATAAGTGTAGCTAGAGAAGACAGCCAAGTACCATCTTGATGTGCAAGCCCCTCATAAAATTGGTGTTCTTCCTCTCCAGTCTCAGCTTCCATATTTACACAAAGTACACCTTTTTTTGTAGTTTTATGGTTTTATTAACACAAATGCAATGTGCGTATAAACTGTCTACATTCATTTTCTTCACTGTGCAGCCTGGCATTGGGATTGGTAGCTCTGATGGCCAGCTGACTGCTCTTTCCACAGTGGGTTTGTGGTTTTTGGAGGAGACGTTGTGAACAGTCTCTGCACAGCAGAGAGCCTGCTTCTCCCTCTCCCTCTGCTGCTCCCCCTGCTTGTGCTCTCTCTCTCTGTCAAATAAATAAAATCTTTAAAAAAAATTTTCATTTCTTGCCTTCCCACAAAACAAACTCTTAGTCACCCTTCACATCTGTTCCCAGGATCACTTTCATTCTAGTACTGTTTTTCTACTTTGTGTGCATGTGCTATTACTAAGACGTATTTTATATATATTATGTATAATATACGTATTATATGTATATATATTCACATATATGTGTAATAAATATACACACTGAGACACTGTATTTCCTAGTAGGTATAAACTCCTTTGCATTCCAGGTGTTAGCAAATAGGTGTTCAAATATTTATTGAAATACCTGATTTATGCTTTTGAATAGGCAACTATTATGTTCATAAGAACTTTAGAAAATTATAGATTCACAGATAGAACTCTTGGACACTCTATTTAATTTTCTAATGGAGATTTTGGAATTCCTAGGGGTTTTTTGGAATTCCTTTTGACTTACTTTAAAAGTTCTTTTAACTTCTAAAAGCTTGTTGGTTGTTTACAATCATGTTCTCATTTTCTTGACATTTCTATATAGCACTCTATACCTTTGATACTACACGTTCTTTGCTAAATTATATTTATAAGTTGCTATTACTCTGATATATTTTGAATATCCACATTTTAAAATAAGAGCTAAGTGATCAAGACCACAGAAGTATTCATTTCAATCAGACATATCATGTTCGTGAAAGTTAAACTGTATTTAAGGTGAATTTTGCTGACAAAGTTATGTTTAATAGAGATTTCTTAAACAGCTACCAAATAATACTCATAGTATCCCAATTCTGTTTTGAAATATGTATGTATATATATGCGTAGAAAAATATAGGAAGACTGTATACATCAAACATTTCTGGTAATGGTCTTACAGAATATTTTCACTTCCTAAGTCATTTCTATGGTGATGGGCTTTTTTTTTTTAATCAAGACATGTATTTTTTTTAATTGAGCAGGGAAAGATTAAGCTGCCTATTCCCTAATGATTTAATGCAGTGTTCTGTATTTAGGCTTGATCTACCTACTCTAATGGAAACTTTTTTAGTAGTTAATTTTTATTAGATTTAATCTAGCACATTGAGCCATAACCACCTTTTCCTTTTGTATGAAGTTAAGAAATACCTGGTTATTATCCTTTTAAAAGTTATAAAGATACTTGAAGCCTGGCAATTACCTAGAAATCTTTTTTTTTTTAGTTTTTATTTATTTATTTTTAAGATTTTTATTTATTTATTTGAGAGAGA